ATGCCAGCGCTGGGCTCTGAACCGCTGGCCCTTCCTGGACACTTCCTGTGTATGAAACATGACCTTTGCTTACTACGTAAAACACTATTACACTCGTTTTAAAAGTAGTTTCCTACAGTGATGTGCTGTTTCTGCCACCTTCACTGACATCTGCTACGGCACAAGCTTCGCTGTAAGAGGGGGAAGGTTTCTTTCCCAGGTTATAGAAGTTATTGGGGGATGGGGCAGACCCCTCTGAAGGATTTGCACCCAGCACAGCTAGGGGAGCAATACAGGCTCAACAGACCAGCACAAAATTCCAGTGAGTGGTGGGCTCTGTATTTACAGTAGCGGTTGGCTTTCACTGTAGTCATTAAAACGAAAATGACCACTTGACAACAGTTGCTTGAAGAAACAGAAAAAACGGCCATTCATTAACGTTTCGTTATTAAAGTAGCTGTTGAATTGCTTTTTATCAGTACCTAGCCCACTACTGTGGTCAAAACAGACCTGAATTCCACCAGCTCCTGCGCCTGGATGACACTAAATGACCTGTGGAAGCTGTCAGTCCGTGACCCGTCAGCTCGGGGGACGCCACTACCTGAGTATCCCTTCTGCGCTGTGATGCCACAGCATCCAACCTGCAGCTCAGGGTTCTTTATGTAAGGAGTGGCACGGACAACAGACTTTCCTGCCATAAAAAGAAAAAAAACCACTCTCGTAAGAGTATTCATAATCAAATTAATAGCTTTACAGGAAAAAAATAAATCACATACCAGCCTGGAGCTCCATATCACAATACAGTCTTAGGGTACTCGCTGTCAGTTCCCAGATGTAAAAGTACACATCCTGGGGCTGGAATAAATAAATTGCAGTCTAAAGCCACTTAAATCCACATGTCCATTTGATAAGAAGCCACAAAAGATGTAGGAGCGGACCAGGAGCAGACGATACATCAGGTCTACGACGGACAGAAGCCACTTCTCTCTGTCTGTGCTCCTGCCTGCTGCCTGTGAAAATCTGCAGCACTCTCCACTTGTGCGCCTGTGAGCCGTGCCAGGCCCCTCCCCCCTCCCCTGCTCCACTCACGAGCAGCCCACTGAGGCCCTGGCCAATGGGCACTGAAGCAGGCTGCTGTGCTTCTGTAGATGGCAGCCGCTCACGGGAAAGATGCAGTACACATGTGCTGTACGCACTATACACAGCCAAACAGGGCAAGATCTCTGTGTGCACAGGGAAGACCTGGGGTGAACTGAATTCATGAGCTGCACCTTTCAGGAAGAACAGATAGAAAGGCACATCTGGGAATTCCAACAAAAAATTATGTTTAATATTGTTTAGGATTTTTTTTTCTTACCATGTTCCCAAAAGAAACCTCTGCAAAAGTCACACATGAACTGGTATCAATTCACAGCGATAATGCACGCTATGGAGGGGCCCATTAAGATAATTATCAGGTCAGCTGCTGTCCTATTCTGTGTCGAGATAAATAGTTTTATCTTGGTGCTGAGTTGTTTCAGACGGGCTCTTATTCATTCCCATTCTCCGAGTTACGCCCCGAGCAGGGAAATACAGTTGAGGCTGACCTCGTTGCCGATGACTAAGGAGATCTCTTTAAGGCCCCAGTCTGGCTAAACAAAAATACGGTTCACCGAAGCACAGATTCATTAAGCACAATGATTGTAGAATAGGCCAGTTTTCA